CTTCCGTGCTTAAAGGGTTTGAGTATATTGCTTCGGTTTTGAATTAGGCACTTTTTAATGGCCTTGTCAAAAGCCGGCCAAATTCGTAATACAGATCCGCAACGTAAACACGCTAGATATCGCCAAGAAGATATAGGCAAGGGTAAGTTTTTCCGGGCGAAAAGGACACAGACAGAAATTATAATAGATGAAATTTAGCATAATTGATCTAAACATCCTCCAGTCATCTCGCCATTTTGGAATTATATGGAATTAGATTATGCCCTACTATTGTTTAGAAACCACGACTAAACCATTAACATAGCGATTATCGAGAATTTATGTTAGTTAGTACATTCTTTTGTTGTTTCCTTGCAAACGACGCGTAGAGTTAGCCATTCTTGTAAGTAAACCTCTGACAGCGGTATACTTATGCCCTAGCAATGCAATGTCTCGTAGTAAGTAGATGACAAATCCTCGTATGATACCAATCAATGACCCTTCATTGCTCCAACTGAATAATATTGTGTATCAGATATACACATTTAAAAAAACAAAGTTTCACCGCATCGAACGTATCTATCAGATTAATATTGTATTTGTTAAATCACAAACAGAAGTTTATACGTACGCATTCAGTAAAGCTGAACACTATCCGGTTGCTGTACAATATTATCCAGACACGTGGTAACGATTAAGTCTTCCTGAAACTCGGCGCCAGTTACCGTTCACTATTGAAACTAAAAATTTGTGGCATTTCACTCCAAGCAAAAAATCGGTAAAACTAGGCACCTTGCAGGACCTTTCTACGCCAAACGTATTCGTTCCATAGCACTAAGGAGATGTCCGAAACAATGGCCAACGGCAGTAACGCACAAAGGCTCATTTCTAAAACAAAGGACTATACAAAGCCAAGCCATGGCCTGTAGCGTTGGGGATGGAAGCTTCGAACACTCTTAGACAAAGATTAGAGATAATTAGTTGTTTGCATTTAATCACATTTGTTGTGCAATAAATGTCCTTGGCGGGGCTTTAACCAGCTACCAGCGGCTAATTTAAAGCCCGTGCTTGAACCGTCTAAGCCATTAGATATTGCATGTGCGACCCATACGCCTACGCGAAACAGTCTCATTTCAGTGGAAAAAAAGACGAGCTCCTTCTTACTACCGTCACTATTACTACACTTACATTTGGAGGACACGTTAAAGATGTCTGACTTCATTCGACATCTACGCTACATATCGGCACCGGGGGGGGCTGTTCTAGAAAAAAAATAACGGAAAGTCAAAGCGCTCAAAGCGGATTTCAAGTTTATTCCTTCATTTCTCTATCGGTGCGCACCTTTCCTACTGGAAATCATATAGCGGTGCATTGATCCCCTGGCCGAAATCTCTGAGTAATCTCCAAAAATCGTTCACGTCACACGTTCTATTCGCTGATTACTTGAATTCACCTTCTTTGTTTTTTTTTCCCGTCTAAAAGACCCAAAATTGCCGGTCAGATCTCACCAGAATGGCAAAGATTGGTGTTGATAAGCGTACCAGGGAGAACAGTCGGTGTCAAGGCAGTAGCGATATTTGGTCAACAGACTCCGAAGGTCCGTCGTCGATCCTAACACAGTGAATAGCAATAGACGCACTGTTGTGGCGGATCGAGCAAGGAAACGTGTCTGATAAAAGCACAGATTCATGGAATTCCTTCCTTTACCGGAATCTCTTTTTCGTTCTTTCGCTTTCTGGCTGTTTTGAACGCCGCACGGTAACGTGACGGGACACGCAATGACTAGTACGTACTCAGGACGTACGGGGCTGAGGAAAACATGTCTGGCCCATCTGAACCTTCCCTTGTGACCACTGAGGTTCTAGACGCTGAAACGCATGACTCAGAAGAATGTCAGGCAGACCGATCCTACGAAGCAAATCAGAGTAGAGGCAACTGGGTGAGTGAGCGAAATCCAACGAATCCTCCACCTTTTACTACCTCTACGACTACTTGTGCAACGACTACCACATTTAGATGGAATGGCCGATTTGAAGGTATATGGATCATAGGTCACCGAAGAAGAGTCGTTGAACCGCTCAGCTATTATAATTTTTTTCGTTCAAATTTAAAAAAAAACCGAAGGGATGCCACAGCAGCAGGGAAACTCAATTGGGGATCTCAAAGATTACCTGGCCTTTGGCAAAGAGTTGTGACTTATCTTGACTAAAATACGAGAGAGGAAGTGGCAGGACGCGAATACAGAAGGAGAGCAAATGCTGTAGATAAGACCCGAGTAGAAGACAGGCGTTTCCTTAAATTCTACACTTTCCCGAAGACGTTCCAAACACATCAAAAGCAAGCATTGCCCTATATATGACGAACATGATAGGAGCTTTTTACGATGATATCGTTTATAGTTTTATCTCGAAGTAAAGATAAAAGCTATCCATGCATTGATAAAAATGAAGCATAGGTTTGCTTACTAGTGAGCTATCGGTAGAGAATATTGTGTGACACCGTCGCCATTATGACTGCCGTTCCATTCAGCAGAGGGGCATTCGGGGCTGATATTATGTTAGGACTGTGGATTAATCTTAGGGTTAATATCAATGAAAAGGCAATTTTACTGAAGCATGTCGTTGGGCGCGTTTTGGCGTTAAGAAGGACTCATTTATGATTACTTATAGGATTATAGATGACATAATCCAATTATTATCGCTTTTGTATCTTCCTGCAATATATTTTTATTGTATGTTATAAACTTCTGTATTCGCTAGTCAGCTAATCGAGGTAAGTGCATGTAGCTACGCTATAAAATGTATTAAAAACGATTTCGCTTTTTTTTTCGCGAAAAAAGGATCAGCTTATATTCTAGAACTCGTGAGCAGAATTCAAAGCTTTCGAATTATCGTCGACTCACTTGGCTCTCTGTTGGCGTCAAGTATACCCAATGAGTTTTCCTTTAACCACACGAGCAGCTCGGCTAAACGTAATTGTTAGCTACCGTAGCATTTACATTTACAATTTAGCCTTCAACAAAAATATATAATACAGTGAATAACGAGCATAGTCCAACCCCTTCATCTGCTGTTCCAAATTGGAGGACTCTTGGGGGATGCGTTGTGCATAAGTCGACAGCTTCGTTGCCGTACATTTATCCAGTGTTGCAATCACCATCCAATGTCCTCTGTTGTCGTTTGTCGTTGCCGCGGTCCTCTGTTGCGCAGTCCATTCGTACGTAAACGTCCCCTCAAAGGTTAACTTGAGGTTAGGATACGTCTCAAGCGGTTAGACAGACCGCGAGCTCGGTCGCAGTTTGCTTGACGGCCCTTTACCTTTTACTCTACACAGAGAGACGGTGTATCGATCACCTGGCAGAAGAGTGCAACCGGGCTTAGTAAAAGCTACGATCTTTGACGGACATCGACCCGATAGTTGAAGAGGTTAGGGCTGGACAGATGCAGAACGATCGTTCGCTACTATTATCAATGCAAGGTTTTAATAAATACACGTACCCGTACGCTTTGCGGTCCTTCTGAAGTTCGAGATCGCATTTGTTGGTTCTTCAATGGTAGCTTTCGAAACATTTCGAAACCCAATTTCGTGAAAAACGCTATTTGTGCTATCTAGCGGTAGTTCCGCAATTACCAATAATAGAGCAGCGGCCGTTGAGCCTTCACAACCCCGACGCAATACCGACGCCGCTGGCGCAATGTTCCGCAGGATCCTTGCCGCCCTTAACGAATATTGAAGGGGAGCGAATATTGGATGCTTTTGTTGCCAGTAACATGCAGCCAGCATCCAGACGAGAGGATGTTTCACTATCGTTATACTTCTACACTATTGGGAAGCGAAAAAAGGATAGCTCTAAGACGTTTCTGCGTTTGTAGTTGTAACGCCGTAATCGATAACTACGCCATGAGCTGCATAGACTAGCTAGCAAGTGACCAAAGATTTACAGGCAAGTACTTAGTTATCTCTTACCTCGCTTGAATGACACACATGTTTGTAGGCAAATTTATGTGCGTTGGCGGGCTCAAACCGGCAGCGCCCGCCTTTATCGTCGTTGTACAATCGAAATTACAATAACAATGATAATAATCTAAACCAGATATAGTAATACACGGCAAAAATTTCCACAGCAGCAGCAGCGCCATTACATACATCATTCCCATCGCCACTTACTGCAAGTCCCAACACCGGTGGGACCAAAACAGATAGTGGTGATGATGGTGGCGTGCATGCTGCTGATGGCATCGGTGTCGCTTGTTACATTAGAGGAAAGAACGGAGAAGAACATCGAAAATATGCATTGACCCCCAAGCTGCTCGTACAGTCCGGCTTTGGCGACGGCCACAGCAGTGAGTGCCTAGCGGATTTCTTCTCAACCGGAGAGCGAACAACAACAATCTGCGCTGCTATCGCCATAGCACCACCGCAGACGCTCCTAATTTCGCTGCCGCCGCCGCCGCCGACGCTGGTCTCGCGGCGCCTACGACGAGCGCGTGCGTCAACCAGTGTCTCAGCTTTCCCCGCCGCCGCTGCCGCAGACTCGACCAAACGCAAACAGACGTCCGCCACAGCCGCGATGGCGCAGTCGTTCCGGCGGTTGCAGGCTGCTGTCTCGGTGAAACCGCGCGCAGACGTTTTCACGGCCGAGCCGCTGTCGTCAGTCTCTCTACCGTTTCCCCCTACAACATAGACTCACTAATATCCCGCTGCTGCTGTATTCGCTAATGTTAGCGACGTTCAACGGCCACTGGAATGATCGGTGTCCGTTAGCCCTCACTGCTGCTGGCGTTGCTATTCCACAATCGCCTGTGGGACGGGCGTCGCAGGGAAACATATGACTCGAGTAGCTTTGCTAATGGAGACGGCTTTCGTGGTATCGGCACTGCCGCTGCCACCGTTCGCCCCCTCTTTCTGCCTCTCGGCCTGTGCAACTGTTCGCTAGACGAGGGCCTGTGCGAGGGTTCACCGCTGCTGACAGCAGCGTTGTTGCAACAATAAGGAGTCGTCTGGCGTTGTTGAAACAACGTTGAATGTAGTAAAAAGCAAGAGAAAGACAAAAAAGAGATATCTGACGGGCAATGGACGAAAAGACAGATAGATTATGGTCGAGTTGAGGGACAGGGCCAGTTGTGTTTAGACGGATTGAATAGACCGAGGTGACGGTCGCTGGCTCTAGCTCGTCCTGCGCTTTGTGTACATTCCCGGCCACATACTTGAGAACGACAGCGACTCAGGGAATCAGGAAGAGAGAGAGAGAGAGAGAGAGAGAGAGAGAGAGAGACGGAGAGAAAGCGAGAGACAGAACAGGGGTTAGGTAAAAACAGAAACAAAGTAAGTACGGACGAGCCAAAATCCACCCATAGAGATCACTCGAAAGAAACGTGCTGGCTTGCCCCGAGCCTACGAGGTCTTTCCGCCCGAGTCTACTACGTTAAATCAGTGTCTTTGTGAAGGTGTCCGTGGCGTTGTCGTACGGTCGAGTGTTGAGCACTCCACAGCCGCATAATTGGCCATCGTTATGTGATAGTAGGAGTGAGTGCGATACGTTTGAAAGTCGAGCTCGTTTACGGAGATGGTGCTGATACTATTGGACTACTGCCGCTGCGGATGGTGGTCGCTGTCGTCGTCATAACGGCGATGGCGGCTATAGTGCTAATAGCGGGTAAGCAAGAGTCTTTCGCGTGAACGATTTAGCGTATAAATTACGGTGTACATTTTTGCTTGAGCTAGCTAGCTAGCAGGCCGGCCAGTCAACGACGAGCTGATCATAATAATAGCACAGTACACACAAGAAACGGTGAGCCGACGAACGCACTGGATAGCGCACGAAAAATCGGAAAACACAAAAAGGCTAGGTCACGGGCAACCCAACGGGAAAAAACCGATGATATCGTAGCTAATGTCTAGGGCAGTATAAAGGGATTGTTTTATCGAAATCTACCTGCTAACGTCGAATAGTATGTATGTATGTATGTGTGTGTCTTAGCGTTTTTACGTAAGCGTTTGCATGGGGGCATGAAAAAGCTAAGCAAACAGATTTTGTCCCTCTTTTTCGTTGAGTTGGTGCATAAGAAAGGCAACATCAGAAACTAGCCGCAGTGCGCGAGAATCGAACGAAGCGTTATTGTCGCTAGTATTTACGAAGTGCAAAAGTTACGTCTTCGGTAAGCTTTATTCACAGCAGTGTTTATCAACATTGTGGTAACGGTGAGGTCGAAGTTCAGCAGAGAAACCTGCGACTTTGACTGAGCTTCAGCTCGTTAATTCAACCCAGGAGTACTATTTTGCTGTTCTGGTTATTTTTTACACGTGTTTGTGCTCTTTTTAAGCAGAGGTGCTTCTAAATCGTTAACGGGGTCGTCGAGGCTGCCGAGTGTACGTTCCGTTGTAGACTGGATAGAGAAATTGTGCTCGACTGTGGCCTGTGCGATCGAAGGCTGTGATTCCGTTCGGTGATTTTAGCGTTGAATCTCGGATGCGTGCTGTGCATTCGGCTGCATTTCGATTTTTATTAGTTTCGTTCTGTGCTGAGTGGGTGTACGCTTTTGGTCCGCGTAGATGCACGACTGGAGTGCCCTCGCGAAGGTGACCCGGATTCAGGACCTTCTGGTGCGAAGGACCAACGGTAAGATAAACAATTACAATCATAATGGGGAGAAAGCTAAGGTCAATTAATCGACAGCCTTTCTTTTGCTGATAACGGTGCTGTGTACCGATGTGGACGAAATGATAGCGGTGCTGATCCAAGCGATAACAGCCATGCCAATCAACGAAAACACAGACAAAACTCCGATCATGCAATAATGAACGAACAAAAACCAGTCAGCGGCAATGTCATGTTAGTAAGTATAACCCAAGGGAGCATAAGCACTGGTAAACACAACGCCATAGGCTACCGTTAACGTCAATCTCTTGCCAAGACCAGCCCTGCTTTAAGAAAACTATCATAACTACAATTGTATGGAAAATGATAAAAGCTGGCTTCTGTGTAGCCGACGAGAAGATAGACCTCAAAATGAAAAACAATCCACAGACGGAATACACTAGTAAAGCGACAGACCTGTAAGCGCTGCTGCTCTGAAGTATTTACCGGATTGTATTGTGCGGAACAATATATAGGTAACAGGACAAATGCTACGACTTCTCCGCCGTTGATGGCAGGCAGTTGATTCCGGTTGGGTGTCCGTCCTTCCATCTCTGCGTCCAGCCGCCGCCCTATTTGTTCTAGTGTGCAGCCTGTTTGGCAGCTGCAGTCGCCCCTGCAAGTGAACTAGCTATTAAACGAACGACATAGTTATGTCGCTCGTTCAGTTGAGTGCAGTGATACTGACCGGAGATGGACGAAAAAACTCTCTTGTCTGTATCGCAACGGCAGCCGCGAGGAATACGAGGGACGAGAGTTGACAGCATGGCCACCCATGGGGGAATGGTGTAGACATCATTCAGCCAGTCCATTGCTAGTGCAGAAGGCTAGCGGTCCCTCGCTTTCGACTGTCAGGATGGGCAATGTTTGTTGCTTGGGGGCGGTGGTGCCGTCTACCGGGCAGAATCACTCACTCCGGCTGGGCTGCCCCGTAGGGCTCGGCTCGCCAGTCGTCGCTGCGCCGACCTAAGCGTTGTTGATGTTACAAAGACCGCTTTTACTCATTCTATTCGCTGCTACGGTGGAGTCTCTCTCGGCTAGCCTGGTCCACAGTAGCGCAGCGTCACAGGGACGAGCAACAAATAACGGCAACCAAGGTCGCAGTACCGTTTGTCACCCTCAAAAGAGATCACAGTATCTCCATCGGCTCGTCCGCCCGTTACTGGTCGACGCTGTTACAGTTTTAGGCGCTTTCGGTTGACGATCGGTGGCATTGGCGGCTGACGCAGGCTGCTGGCAGAACGGTCGATAACGGTCAAATAGCATCATGTTGTTTTCACTGTTGATATTGTTATTGACGATGGTGGCGTCGATGTATAGGATGATACTGCCTATTGTGCGGCCGGAACAATGGGGCTGCATCAATACATTCTATGGACTGATTCGGTGTTCTGACTTGGTTTAAGAGAAGTACAACTGCTTGGTTCCGTTGCGGTTCTGTACCACAGATCGATACAGGAAACACGAAGGTTCCGTGAAAGAGACTGTGGCGAAGATAAGAAGATTATTAAATCTCAATACGAAAACTGTGATCTAGTGATGTATTGGTTCAATCTGGTAGCAGTATGCATAAAGACCTGCAGCGAACAGGAGAAACAAATATAATTCACACGCTCACAGACAATTAAAATCATATAGGTGGCATTCGGCTATGTAAACGATAATGTCAACAGCTTTCAAAGGATGTGAACGTGATTTGCAGTGAAGAGCATGCTCCCATGCAGCCTTGATTTTCGTTTTATTACAAAGATGCCTGATGTTCTACGTAAACACTATTCCTATAATAGTATTGCTAGTTAGACGTCGCAAGCGCGTAATGCTCACCAAGCGAACGAGCAAAAGAACATCTATCAGTTAATCAACAACAATTGATAATATCTACTTGCGCCAAAGGGGGACAAGATTCAATATTGTCCTATGAAATTACCTGGCTGAACGCTCGGGAGTTTGTTATGTTCGAATTGTTCCACATCAGAGGTTAAAACTCTGTTGATTGGAGTGACAGTTAAATAAGAATTGTCCTATGAGAATGATAGGGGTAAACTATAGTTGTCCGAGGATCCGTACAAAACGACGCGAGTGTGACCGTCTTCGTTGTGGACACTGAACATCTAAAGGAAACCGCCCCTACTCCGAGCTCGAGGCGTCGTCAAATACATTATAACAGGAAAACAAATATGGACGTTAATTGTTGTTGCCGTTAGCATAATGCACTGTGTTTCTTATCACTCTTTTGGTCGCGCTTCAAGTGGCTAGAACCATCAATGGTTTCTCGGTTAGGCCTGCTGGCAGCCGTTGATGGCAGGCGACGGCAAGCGTTGCAGCATCGTTTTTATTTTTTTGTTTATTTATTTTAGATATTACTACTGTGTGGACAGATTCTTAGAACCATCTCGTCAGCATAACATGAGGGATCTGCTTTTACTAGGTTGGATAACCATGAATTATCTGGAGTTCCTTCAACAGACCTATGAAGCGACAAAGGAACTATGTGCCACAATCAATAGGGTAAAGTTTTAAACCATCGATGGCCACATTCTGATGGTCACCACAACAACGCACTCAACGCAGCCACCCAGACTATCCGTCGCATTCTACATATATTTACCGTATCCAAAATGGCATAAACCGATACAATCTGTACGTTTGTCCTCGATCGTTTTCATCAGTTTTTTCCTTAACAGAAGTTCCCTTTCGAGCCGAACAAAGAAACTTCACTCTACATTGTCTACATACACCCCGACAAACTGAGTAGCTTCACCTGACATTTTTATCATTCATTAGCATACTTATATAATAATAATTATTCCATTGCCTACCTGTAACCCGATAGCTGCCTATACTTTACTCCACGAGGTCGAACGGGCTACCGACATTGTTTTCGCCAACCATTGCTAAGCAGTCTCAACGGCAACGACTTATCTTGATCGCGTATCGTAGATGGAGAGTTGGTTCTACTTGCTCGTCAGCTTAGAGGTCAGCCAAAAGATGGACGACGTCGCCAGTAACCGTAATACAAACCGATGAAAAAGCAAACGGGCAGAGTCGAGCAAACACCAACGTTATTCATCCAACGCAAGAGCCGCTTCGTGCAGTCCGCAACATGCAGACTCGCCATTGACGGCTCTGCGCTCTCACACTTCTACGGAGCTCTATGCCACCCAACGCGCTGGCTCCGTCCGCGTCACAGCTAACAAAAACCAATCAGTCGCCTGATAACAGGCCACCGATACCAACAAAATGGAAACATGCCTTGTTTTTAATTCATCTCCTTTGTGCGATGTTGTCTTTACACGTTGGCAATCGTTGCGTGATTTTGCAGCGGCCCACCAGAGCGAGCGGCTCGGTAATGGCTGGTTACAATGTCAGCGTGCAGTGAAGCAATGGGAGGTAGGTAGGTAGGGATCGAGTCATGTCGCTGGTGCCACTAGTAAATAGCTAATGCTATCAGCCGACTGCTGTTATAACTGCCCCGTTCGTTATGTCGCTACTGCTGCTGCTGCTGCTTCTTCTATTGTTGGTTAGGCAGAGAGAGGCTTTCGACAAGCCAGCTCATTGAAGCAAAGCTGATTTGACGTCTTCCTTTCAAATTAGGCCACTCGTATCAGACTTATTCGGTATCAGTTGACAGCTCGTCAGTCGCCCTTCCGAGATCGTCATATTGTTACCACTAGGCATCTACGGGTAGGTATATAATGGCAAAGAAACAGTATATGATACTGTGTTTCTGCCAGACGAAAACGGCGTTACTTTACCGCTTTCTGCTGCCGAATGGACTGTTCAGCACGCAGCCGTACGATTTGCGCAATCGAAAAGTTAAAAAACGTCACTGTCTCTTAATTTGAAAAGATGATTTTGAGAAAAATATGATCATGGCTTATTAGTGATCTATTTTAGCCAAAGTAAGTTTACATTCTGTTAATAATCATCCCGTACATAGGAAGCGTTTGGCGAAGTGTGTCACGCTATTACCGCGACGGATAAACTTGCTTCGTCATCATTCACTGTACTAGAACGCGGGTTTGTTGGGCTCTAACAGCCTCCTGGGCATGTACACAACCTTTTTATGGCTTTCTGACGCTTGTGGAGGTATCTTGGCTCAGCGAATGATACGCGGAACAGAATTTTGTTTCGATAATCGGCGGAAGTGAAATGACATAACTTAGCCGCGTAGTACCAACCATGTTTGAACGATTTTTGTTGATCGCTTGGATCAGTGCTGCGTAAGTGCTAGAATGTACACTTCCACGGTGTAATTTTAGTGGTTTTAGCCCAAAAAAGAGATCTTCCTACCAAAAATGTATAAACTCTATTGCTATTAAGAAATGCGTTGCTGATTCTTCGAAACGTCGCAGCCAGCCTGGACGGACGCACATAGAATGCAGAAAATCATCCCTGCCTTGTTTGGGGCTATAATTATCAAATTTGAAGAATAACTGTAATATCGTGCAGCTTATAGAATCGGCTTCGAACGTCATGATTTGTATTGTACTGTTACACAATAGTTTACTCCGTAGGCCACAAGCTGGGATCGGAGACCCATATGGTCTGCTCTTTTAGATAATAATGATATTGTCAAAGGGTAATCGGCAACAAAGCGAAGTATTCAAAAGATACTCGAGCTTTCGACAATCCTTAGTGTTAATAAAAAAGTAAAACAAATTCAATAAATTACAGTATTTGTCAAGGTTTAATAAATATTCCATGTAGGTATTGCTACATTTCATGTATGCCGACATAACATTATAGACAGACAAAAGAAGCCTAAAGAAGAGTTTTGAAAAACTACGTCCATATATGTTTTCCACCGTTTGTACTCAATGTGTCCAGCGGCGTTCGCGAATGAAACCCATTAAGTTTGCATGTAAAGGGCAGGTTAAGAATGCCTTCTGGAACTATGCCGTCCTTGAGCATTTCACAGTGAGTAAACACAATGTGGAAACTTTTTTTTAATAAAGTTGAACGAATGCCAAATGATAATT